CTCAGTAATTAGGGTCCCATGACCCAGCGCTCTTTCAAAGGTAGTTTTTGCTCACACATCCAAGCAGATGATGCCACCGAGATTGACATCAGCCTTCTTCTCCAGAGTTAAGCGCAGCACTATCAGTAGCTTGGGCTTTAGGTCGGTTGTGTGAGATGTTATTGTTATTTTGCTGAGTGACCGTTTGACCCATTCTCGTTTGTCTTCGTCAACCCGTGCCACCTTCGAATTTCTCTTTTCGTACACAGGCATCTGGCAAAGGTAGTGCACAGCGACTGCCGCTCCAGCAAGTTAAATTTCTCAGCTGCCTCCAACCTATCCTTCATCTCTGCTATTGGATAGTGGAATGGCCAGCTGATAACTTGGTTAATCTTTTTCGAGGAAGCATCCACCAACTTCCCTTGAACATACACATTCTTCGTGTTATCCGCTTGCTCCAGGTTTGCATATACAATTCTCTTACTAGCGAGATATCTGACAAGCATTTGTCACACTCTGCAAAATTTAAAATAAAATAAACCTACTACTGCAATAAAAATAACGTAGTATAGATGAAGTAGGGTAGTCTCCTCAGGGAATTAAAAAGTTTTTATTTTCGATTGTTTAATTTATGAATATAATAAAAATGGGGATTTTGGAAGTAGGAAATAAAAATAAAATAACAAACTAAAAACTTTACGACTAAAAGATAAATTCAATAAAAATAAGTTTCCAGTCTATGAATGAAATTGACAACTTGGATAGTGGATTTGGTCATAAATATTTAATTATATTGGTTTCTAAATAAATTAGTTATAGTTACCGACACGCGCCTAATAACCAAGTCTTTCTTAATTTCTTGACAGTCTAGGTACGTCCGTCAACTACTTCCCTAGTTAGACTAGAACCCTAGTGACACCACAAAGAATTTACTAGCCTAACTCCCTTGCGAACTAGAAGAGCCTAATTCAATTTAACAAATAACTATACAAAATTGTTTAAAATTGATTCCATGATTTCCTAATGGTGTCTGTCACTAGTTGCTACTTAAACCAAATTAAAATGCAATTATGGATGCCTAATTTAGTTTAGCAATTAATACTTAATCCAATTGAAATATCTGGCTACAATACCCAACCAAATAAAAGATTATAACTCCAAGAAATCAGAAACCATAGAAATACTTAGAAACCAAAGAAATATCATAAATCAAAACAAGTCTAATCTCCCAAATCCATACAAAGTTATTTTCCACTTCTAGACTAGAAAAATAAACTACTTGCTAATCATAGGAGGAAGAAAAAAGGAAAAGGAAGCAAAGAGAAACATCGTCTGAGAATGATCTTGGTAGGGGTAGAACTTGAAATCTTCTTGGCAGAATCTTTCTCCTTCTTGCCCTTGCACGGTTTCTCTCTAGGACTCTTCTGCACGGTGTTCTCCTCGGCAAGTGGCCAAAGTGGCGCCTCCTCTTTCTTTCTTTCTTTTATATTTGCCTTAATTTTGTAACAATTGGGCCTTGGACCTTTTTGTTCTCTTTTCCCACTAATTATATCAATTTTATTATTTTTCTCCTGCAAATTCTAAATAAATAATATATGCCCAAATCAGGTATAATCTAATTAAAATCAACCAAATATCGCAAATAATATAAATATTTAACGCATGCGATTTATGGCTATCAACACCCACTGGCTCACCGGGATTGTTTATCAGTCAGGACAATCCTCTATCCTTGATCCAGTCTTTCAATCCTCCTTAGATTGTCACTGGTGCGAAACCTTGCTCGTAGACGATGCCCATTGCCTTCACTTTTTCATAATTGTCTGTTGTTGTCTGGTTGGTGAAATAAAGTGAATCATACTCAGGATTTTCCATAATAGTGGCGACAGCTACAATGGCATCTTTCTTCGAGATTTTTTCCAAACAGAAAGCCTTCATCCTTCCTTCTACGAGCTCAACCTTTCAAAATTCTTGCTTCATCTATCCCTCCCAAAATTCCTTCAGTTTTGTGTAGCTCAATCACCAGGTATCCACAGGATACCTCTGAGTGGATTTTTCTATGTAGTCAAATTGTAGGTAGTCCTCTGAAAAAATTGAGATGTAATCGCGGAATTCAATAGCTTTTAGCCTTCTCAGCTCAGTCTAGTTCTTAGTAAGTTCCAACAGCCTTCTCTCTGTGGTTGAGTCCGCCGCCCTCGAAAACCCCTAGGGAGTGTTTTTCGCCGTTGATCAGAACCCCAGCTCGCCGGAGAAGATGATCGAGGATTTTGTTGAAAAGTCAACGCCGGAGTTCTAAACTATTCCGACGTCTGATTGCTCTACTTCCATCAGTATTGTGTTCCTTGCCTTCCAAAACCCTATGATGGTGATCTCTATCGTCGGAAACCCATCCTAGGTCGCCGGAGGCATGGTAACCCCCATTTAGGGTTTTCTTAAGCGTCGCCGGCGTCTCGTCTCTCCCAGTTCTGATGTCCGATTGGAGTTCTGTCACCACCATGGTTCTCACAACGCCTCAGAACCCCCATGCTGACCCCCTTGTTGTCGGAAACCGACCCCTCGCCGGAGCAGCAGTGTCGCCGGAGTTGCTTCATCATGGCCGTCGTCGTTCTTGCAGCTCCGGTGATCGATCCTCTGGTTTCTCTCTACCAGTAGATTCACCGTACCATGGAACCTCCATCCTACGGCCATCACCGCCGGAGGTGATCCCAGCTACGGGGATGAGCTGTGGCCGGCGCTTTGATCGGAATACTAATCTCCGGCCAGGCTCAACTTCTCCCTGCCGAGATAAGAATGTTACTGACCTTGTAGCACCAGACAACCCCCAAGAGAGGATCACAGAGCTTGAAAGGTCTCCAGGGCCTGTCGCCGGCGTCTTTCCCAGGCCAACGCCGTCGCCTCCAGTTCCGATGTCACCGGAATCTCACCAATCTAATGCCTCCATTGGATTCGTAGGATCTGAAAACCATTGGCTGGAGCTGCCCAACCATCCTGATCGTTGTCCGAAGACCTCCGGTGATCCCCCCGAGCTCCACGGCCCCTCCACTGCCGGATTCCGCCTCTTCGCTGCCGTCCGCTGTCCCCCTCCGGCGGCAACTGCCGTTGTGGCCCCGACGGAACTTTAACCCGGGGCCCAACCCCCCCGTACCGGTGTTTGGGTGGGAGGTCGTTTGCCGATGTTGTTTCGGGAGCCCCGTCGGGATTACGATCGGCTGTCGATGGTCCGTTTTCATTCATGGAAGGGCCTCGACCAGCTCCTGTTGGTGCATGGTCTAGCTCCAAGGATGGGGTTTCATGTCTCCGGTTTACTATGGTGGAGACGTCGAGGTACCTGATGGCTAATCCCTCTTGGAAGCATGTTTTAGTCGGGAGGTTCCCGTTAGGCTATTCATCGTGGCATGATATAGTGGCCGCATTTACTAGCTTTCGTTTAGTGGGGCAGTATGAGCTTTATCGTCTATGCCATAGACATATTATCATTCGTTTGTCGGATAGCCGTGATTATGTTACGATGTTGACCCGTGGCCTTTGGATGGTGCAGGGGGCACCACTGTGCGTCTTCAAATGGACGCCAGGTTTTAAGGCCATGGAGGATCCTTCTATTTTCCCGGTGTGGGTGATTTTCCCACAGTTACCACTACATATGTATCACTGGGACATGATGTTTGTGGTTGCTTCGGGGCTCGGTACGCCTCTGATAGTTTATGCTCCGACGGCTAGAAAAGAGAGGTGTTCTCATGCACGTGTCTGCATTGAGATTGATGTATCACAGCCGTTGTGACATATTCTTGATTGATTTAGGGGATGCCAGAGTAGAGCAGAGAGTGATATACGAGAGGCTCCATCGATACTGCACTTCTTGTCACACTTTGGGACACACTGTTGTCGATTGCCGTCGGTCGGGACCTTCTCAGGTAGCGATGGAGGCTAGGGAGGTCCCCGACCGGCGGTTGTGCCTCCTATTCAAGAGCGGCTTGTGCCTCCTGTTGAGGAGCGAGATGCTACAGATGCTAAGATGACAGGCCGTAGGAGGCGCAGACGTAGACAGGGCCAGCCTGGCGTTGACAGAGGTGACAGATTTCTCGCATTTGGCATCCGAGTTACTATTCCGGGTGCTAGAGCATCAGATGAGGTTGGGAGGGTTCTTTCGTCGGGCATTCGGGTTACTGCTCCGAGTACTGGATTAGATTCAGCGGACTCTGCTGAGGGTGCTGATGCACCTGCTATCCGGGTCCCTGTTCCGGGTACTAGTACCTCAGATGTTGAGAGGGCCCTTGCGTCGGGCATTCGGATTACTGCGCCGAGTGTTAGGTTGGATTCGGAGGGTCCTGCGGAGGTTGCGGTTGTCTCGGAGGACAGATATTCAGATACTTTTGAGAGGCCCCTATTGTCTGGCATCCCGAGTACTCCCCCGGGTGCTTATGTTGTTGCTCCCCCCGCTCCTGTTGCTATCCTGGATCAGCCGGGTGGCGCAACTCCCTGTTGGTGGAGGAGGAGAAGGTTCGGGCTTCGAGCTCCCTGCGCATAGCGAGCCCTGTGGCACAGGAGGAGCTGCCCTCTCGTCAGGATAAAGGGAAGGCAGTGATGGTTGAGGATACCCCGGAGACCTCGCGCAGCCTTGACTCTAGCCGGGATGGGTGTTCTTCATCTTTTGATGCGGAGTCAGACGATTCGCCGCTTCTCAAGGATGGTACCCTGCCATCCTTGTTTGATATTTTGGCTTTTTCCCCCGTGGAGATGGGAGCTTTTTTTTGGGTGTTCGGGAGAGTATCAGACCTAATTCAGAGGTGGAGGATCTTCGACACTCCTACCGGGTTGCATCAGAGCCGCTCCCTGTGGTGGCCCCTATAGTGATGGATCCGCTGGAGGAGACGGAGCCTGTGGGGCCGGGCCGTTCCCCGGAGACTGAGACTCCCTCGAGAGTCCGAGCGCGGAGCAAGCCGCCGCCCCCGGAGGTGAGCTGCCGCATCACTCGTAGTATTGCCCGCCTTCAGACGCGTTCTTCCATCGCCCCACGTTCCTAGATGACTGATTTTTCGTTCTTAGTATGGAACGTTCGGGGTGCTGGGAACCCCCGAGCCCATCGGGAGATTCATTACTTATGTCGGGAGCATTGGGTGCGTATTCTGATACTATTGGAGCCTATGGTCATCGCAGCACTGGAGTATTTCTGTCGGCATTTGGGATTCGCTCAGATGATTGGGAATGAGGCAACCACGATTTGGTTGTTTGTCGATAGTTCTTTCCAGATTCAGCTGCTTGCGAGTGCCGATCAGTGGATTAATGTGCAGATATCGTCACCGCAGATTCGTCGCCCCTTTTTGCTGACGGGGGTCTATGGGAGATGTAGTGTCGTCGGATGTCGGGAGATATGGAGATTCTTGGAGGAGACTGCGGCCCCAGCAGTTGGGGCCCCTTGGATAGTCGGTGGCGACTTCAACGCCATTGCGGATATATTTGAGAGGGAAGGGCCGGGACGGCCGCGGCTGCGATCGATTCAGGATTTCTCGGGTGCTCTTTTTGACGCTGGATTGATAGATGCCGGTTATGAGGATCCTCAGTATACTTGGACGAACCGGCGAGTGTGGAAGCGCTTGGATCGGATACTTTATAGCCGTTCGTGGGAGGAGTTTGCGGAGTCCACGCGGGTTCAGCACCTCCCGCGGATGTGCTCGGATCATGCGCCCCTTCTAGTTCGGGTCTCACATGAGCGCCATCGGGTTTCATCAGCTTTTTGATTTCATAGCATGTGGATTCGTCACCATTCCTTCATGGATAGAGTACGGGAGAGTTGGGAGGTTCCGACGGGAGTGTCGGGGCTTCTCTACCTACGCTTGAAGCTAGGATGGCTCAAGCAGGCATTGAGATGGTGGAATCAACATGTCTTCGGGGATGTATTTCATATTCTGGCGGAGGCCGAGAGGGAGGCTGCGGAGTGCGAGGCGGAGTATGACAGGGACCCTTCGATGGCTACTTTGTTACGCCGATAGCGTAATGCGGCAGCCTTGACACACGCCATTGCGCTGGAGGAGGCTTTTTGGCGGCAGAAGGCCGCGTGCAGATGGGTTGTCGATGGGGAGAGGAACTCCCGGATGTTTCACTCGATGGTCTGGGAGCGCCGTCAACGAGCTTCTATCTTTTACATGAGGGATAGCGACCGTGAGCTTACGGAGCACTCGAACATCAAGGCATCGGAAATTTCTTATTTTGCCTTGATGTTCGGGGAGGTGGATGATGCGGATACCTCAGGTATGGATGATTTGGCGGATCTGCCGTCGCAGGTTCCCCCGGAGGAGAACCGGCGGCTATTGGCGCCGCCGACATTGACGGAGGTTCGGGCGGCGGTATTTTCGATAGATCCAGATAGTGTGGTAGGTCTGGATGGCTTCTCGGCGGCTTTTTATAGGGCGTGTTGGGAGATTGTTGGTCCGGATGTGTTAGCAGCTGTTTTGGAGTTTTTTTCGGGGGTCCCGCTTCCGAAGTTTTATATGGCCACTACTATTGTCCTTATCCCAAAGAGGGATGCTCCGGAGTTGTGGGAAGATTATAGGCCCATTAGTCTATGCAACGTGAACAACAAGATCATTACGAAGTTGCTCACGGTGCGATTAGGGACCTTACTACCGCTCCTCCTTTCACCGCATCAGAGTGGGTTTGTGAAGGGGCGTGCGATTGCGGATAACATATTGATGGCATCCGAGATGGTTCATGACTTGAACCTTAGAGGCACGTCGCATAACGTGCTTATGAAATTGGACCTCAATAAGGCATATGATAGGGTATCTTGGCGGTTTCTAAGACATGCCTTGTCGAGGTTTGGTTTCGCGAAGGACTTTATTACATTGGTGATGCATTGTGTAGAGCACGCTTAGTACTCCGTCTTGATTAACGGAGACCTTGGGGGATTTTTTAAATCCTCCAGGGGGGTCCGGCAGGGAGATCCGTTGTCGCCTACTCTGTTTGTGCTTGCGGCGGATCTATTATCGAGGGGTTTGGAGCATCTTTACCAGGGACATCCGGAGCTTTACTTCCGATGTAGGGGCGGGTTTCGGTTGTCTCACTTAGCATATGCCGATGATGTGCTGATCTTTGCGAGTGCTTGTGGGGAGCACATGAGCTCTTTGATGACCTTTTTGGCTGATTACACGAGGATCACCGGCCAAAAGGTCAACTGTCAGAAGAGCTCGATTGTTTTCAGTCGACGATGCCTGCGGGAGGTTCGGGAGCAGCTCCAGTCCATCACGGGCTTCCGAGAGGCTGACCTCCCGCTTACTTACCTCGGTGCGCCCCTCTATGTGGGGAATCAGAGGAACCTTTTATATGAGGAGCTTTTGGGGAAGCTTCGGAGATACTTGAGCCGTTGGGATCGGGCTGTCTTATCACATGGCGGTCGATTACAGCTTATCCGGAGCACACTTTTGTCCCTACCACTATACTTACTTCAGGTCTTGCATCCTCCACGGTTGATCATTCATGAGGTTGAACAGATCTGTGCGCGCTTCTTTTGGGGCTCGTATCATGGTCATCGACAGCGTCATTGGATCTCGTGGGCGGATGCGGCACGCCCACAGGATGAGGGTGGTCTGGGAGTTCGGAGTTTATCGGATATGGTTCATGCATTCACTATGAAGCTTTCGTCGAAGCTTCGTGAGGGTTCCTCCTTGTGGACGTGGGCGATACGGTACAAGTATTTTTGCGATTCCTTCCCTGGTAGTGCCCCTTGTCAGATATACGACAGCCCGGTGTGGAAACGCCTGTCCCGCGTAGGGAGGAGGTCCAGTCGCAAATTTACTGGACTCTAGGTCAAGGGGAGTGCTTTTTTGGGGGGGATAGATGGTTCGGGGAGTAGCCCCTTCTGACCCTCCGAGAGGACAGCCGACCGCAGCCGCCGATACTAGTTCGGGATATGTGGACGGAGGGATCATGGGATGTCGGGCGGTTACGTGCCTATCTCCTGGAGTCTCTTGTTCAACGTGTTATGGAGGTTCCTATCGATCGACAGTCTGAGGATTGGATGAGTTGGATGGCTGCGCCGTCTGGCACATTTACGACATCTTCGGCTTGGGAGCGCTGCCGTGACACGGGGATACGGAGTTGGCTTTCAGGGCTTCTATGGTCGCGCATTCTCACCCCGACGATGTCTGTCTTCCTATGGAGGCTATTCCGTCGACGGATACCGACATATGAGATCCTTCAGCATTATGGTATCTCGATAGTTTCACGATGTCATTGTTGTCGGACGGAGATGGAGACTATCCCGTATCTCTTTTTTGGTTCAGAGGTTGCCCGACGAGTGTGGGAGCATTTTGCGGCGCTATTCTGACTATCTTTGCCGGAGACACATACACTGCATCTGCTTGTGTCTTTGTGGCGGCTCTCCTCGGCGCACCCTCAGAGTATCAGGGCGTATGTTCCGTTGTTGATATTTTGGTTCCTTTGGACCGCTCGGAATGACTCAAAGCACAAAGGGCTTCGGGCATCCTCCGAGAGGATCATCTGGAGGATTCATACACATTTGCATACTCTTTGGCGAGCTAGGATCCTCTTACGTCGACATTGGGTGGGTGACTTTCATATAGCCGAGGTGCTTGGATTTTGATATCCCCCTCCGACTCCTCGACCTCCGATTATGGTGCGATGGGAGGCACCCTCTCCGGGATGGTTCAAGCTTAACACCGAAGGTGCTTCGCTTGGCAATTCTGGCGCAGAGGGCACGGCTGGTATTATCTGCGATTCAGCTGGGGCGGTGTTTATTGCTTTCCAGACTCCGATTCTGCGAGCGATGAACACTTTGGCGGAGCTGACAGCGATCCAGACTGGCGTAGGGATTGCGATTGATCGAGGATTGATGCCGTTGTGGATCGAGACAGACTCGACGGCATGCATATCTCTGATCTCCTCCAAGACGAGCCATTGGACTCTCCAGCGATGCCTTATGTGTATTCGGTTACGACTTAGGGATTCGACTTGGAGGATATCTCATATATATCGTGAGGGGAACCGTGTAGCAGATGCCTTAGCGACTTTGGCGGTTTCCCTCCCGATGGAGCCGACGCTTCTCCCCTCAGATATTCCTTCGCGCTTCGAGGCCTCCTTCGAGCGGACGCCGATGGTCTTCCATCCTTCTGTTTCAGGTAGTAGGCCTCTCCCTACTCTTTGATTCTAGACTTAGCATTGATTGTTGTTACTTAGACTTGATCACTTAATATTTGATTTATGCCTTAGTCATGCTTTAGGCTAGATACTTACTATTATCTGGTCTTGTATGTTTGCTTTACTGAGACTGTATAGCTTGTATCCAAAACTATGTATGGCTTGATCCCGTTTGGGTACGTAGGCAGCCCGTGTGCTATATAGTTTTTTTTAAAAGAAAAAAAAAACTACCTTCCTCCATTCAGTAGATAAGATCTTAAATCTCCTTTCTATTTTCTTATCAATTTTTTCAAAGTCCCTCCTCACATTATTGCTGACTAGCTTCCTGATTTAATATATAGTCACTGCTTGAAAACAGCCTAGGGCTTTTACGGTTCAATCTCAAAACATAGCACAGAGGGAAATACTCAAACCTACGATATTAGTTCAAAATTGATAAACAATCAAGAAAATAGGATACTATACTCCTAATATTTCTGATTCAAACCCTATTCTCTTCTCCTAGAACGAAGCAAAAAGTTCCACAAAGGACTTTGTTGTGAAGAAGGGTGAAAATCATAGAATCAAATTCTAACAATAGATTTTTCCAAAATTAAACTGTAGAAAGGTAGGAAATCAGTTATTATATCTAAATCCAAAAGATAATAGACTTAAATATATAGAAAATCAAGTTTTAGTTATTTCTCAGAAGTTCGAAAAACAATGAGTTTTTGCGATGAAAATTTTTTGATTTTGTATTATTGAGTGTGAAATCGGTGTGAATCAAAGAAGATAAATAGTAAATAGAACAAGACGAACATAGATCTTACCTCAGATTCTCCTAAAATTAGCAAGAAGAGCTTCGATTTTTAAATTGGGAAGGGCGGATAAATGGCAATTTCTATGGCTTCTCAGAGAATTTATTGCTAGAGTAGAGTTGGAAATGACCGTGTGAGGTTGTATTTATAGGGCAGAGAGGTGCTCGATTGTGGGTGGGCTCGGAAGCGGTTGGTGGGATAGCCACTAGTCTGACAACCTTATTATTATATTTTATCTACAAAGGCATAAGGGTAGGTTATAAGGGCGGTGTGAGCGGGTAAGGACAAACTCTAAGAATCCTAAGTGTGACAAGGCAAGTGATGAACAGTGGTATTTAACAAGCAAACAATGCTCCTGCAACATATATTAGAGTGAGACAAGCAGAATGATAATTAGCTTAGGTGAGACTCAGACTTAGAGGACAAATATAACTAAGTTATTCTAAGAAAGCGAGAATAAATTTGTAAACTCTAACCTATAAAAGCAATTAAATTTTATTTACAAAAAGCGATAAACTAATTTCTGAAAACGATAAACTAATTCCAGGAAAAGCATTAAACTAATCTAAAGTGTCTGCTAGTGAGTGGGACTTCTACCTAAATATGCAGAATTAACTAATCTAAAAAGCGATAAATCCATCATTGGCAAGCAATGGGTCTAACTACATTAAGTCTAACTATGAAAATGGTAATCTAACTAGAAAAACATGTAAGTTATTCTAGTAAAGCGATAAAGATTAAAGTAACTGAGCAGCGCGCTTTTCCTGGGCTGGAAGAAGGGCAAAATT